CTTCCAGTCGTTGGACACAAATTGCAGAATTATGACATGCATCAAATATGTCTAGCCCTCAACAAATCTGACTCGCGTAGTACAAAAAAAGTCATTCCATCCACCGACGAGAAATATATTTCATTTATTATCGGAGTAATTGTTAAAACCATTACACGAAAAGATCAAACCACACAAAACATTTACGAGTAACTTCGTTTCATAGATTCTTTCAAGTTTTCAAACTCATTACTATAAAAATTAGTTGACAATTTGCCTGACAACAAATTTACAGTTCTGGAAAATCACTTTCAAAACGTAAGCCAAACCTGTAGAACTCTCATACGCAGAAAAGGATTCTATCCTTATAATTATATGACCGATCGTAAAAATTTGACGAAAAAGAGTTACCGCCTCTCGAGAAGTGGGCGAATAGTTTGGACGGAGATAAAATTACTATTAGTCCTGATAACTTGGTTGAAGCAAAAAGAATTCCCAATCAATTTAATTGTCAGAGCCTGCGCGATTATCATGACTTATATTTGTCATGTGACACCTTGCTCCTAGCCTGTGTCTTTGAAGAATATCAGATATGAAACATATGGCCTTGATTGTGCTCATCATTTCACCGCTTCTTATTTAGCTGGTGACGCTTTCAAGAGGCTATTTGAAGCTGATGTTGAACTGCTAACAGATCGAGTTCATTTAGACATGGTTGAAAAAATAATGCGAGGTGGAACTGCATCAATCTATGAAAAATGACAGTTCACTGCAAACAGCAGGCAATTGAATGAAACATTTAATGAGAGCGAAGATACTCCATATGGCTTCAAGGTTGATGCTATCAACTTATACGGTGGAGTAATGCAAACTCACAAACTGCCTGCACGAAATTTCAAGACAATCGGAGTTAGAAATGAAAGAATTAACCAAGAAAACGAAGATGAGAATTCCATGTCAATAGAAGAAATTTTAGCAACCCCTGACGATTCAGACTACGGTTATATTGCTGAAATTGGTTTAAAATACCCTCAATTGTTGCATAAAAGTCACTCTGACTATCCACTGGCACCCACTAAGGATGTGGTTCAAAAAGATTGGTTGAGCAGATACCAAACAAATCTCTCAGAACAAATGAAAAACAAAGACAACTGTGGATCCGCAATAGTTGTAGTGAAAAAATTGTTACAAATTTTATATGATAAGACTCAGTATAAAGTTCATTATAAATTCCTGAAACTTTAGGTGATGCTTGGCCTTAGCGTTGCAAAACTGTATCGCATCGTAAAGTTTAAACAAGAATTATGGCTCGAACCGTACATAACTCTAAAAACAAACAATTGGAAAGCGGCAAAATAATTGATCAATTCAATTTATGAGAAAGTGTACGAGTAAAAAAAAACAGAATGAAAATCGAGATTTTACAAGATGCTGAAGAAACAATGCGGAATATAAGTAAGTTTGAATTTGAAACTTACAAAGTTTATAGTAAAGACATGGCTGCATTGACATTAGCGCCAACGAAAACCAGATGGGTTGAACCCAAAATTGTAGGAGCGTGTATATTAGAGCTAGCAAAGTATGATATGTACGAATTTCACTACGGGGTTATGAAGCTCAGTTTCATCTGTCACCTCTTCTACTCAGAGACTGTTAGTCTAATGTACGAATAAAAAGGAAAAAACTCCAATTTTTATGAAAAACTGCACGAGATACGTGAAACTCTGGACAACTTCGACTTCACCAGTTATTCGTCGGATCACTTCCTCTACAAGGCAGATAACAAACTTACAGTTTTAAAGTTTGAAGACGAATTCCCGCGTGACATAATTACAGAATCCGTTGCATTGAAGCCAAAGCTTTATTCAATACTATTGCAAAGTAAGTAAGTAAGTACAATTCCTTCAATATTACCGGCTCAAACTTGTTCAAAGACTGCTTTTCGTTTTCGAAAATAAAAAATTTCGAATTAAAAAAAAATTTCGAAAAAATGTTGAAAAAAAAAATTGGCAAAAAATTTTCGTTGAAAAAAATATTTGGTAAAAAAAATTAATATCGTTGAAAGTTTTTTTTAACGACTCAGGTTTTTTGTGTATCTGTGGGTGAGGTTGGGGTAGATTGAATGATTATAACTTTTTTTTAATGAGGGGTGGAGGATCTTCTGTAAAGGATGCGTACATTTTTTTATTTTTAATTTTCAGTGTAAGTTTTTAGAACAGTTGGATATAAAATGATTGTTGAGCATCATTTTTTTAAACACACGCAAGCATTCTGCTAAAAGAGGCGACTCAACGGTTGCTAAACATAAAAATTACATCAAAACTCTCGCCTCTGGAAATCTTGTACGAGCCGAAAATACTTAAAATTTACAGTTTTGAAAATTAAAGACGAATTCCCGGGTGATATAACTACAGAATCCGTTGCATTGAAGCCAACGCTTTATTCAATACTATCGCAAAGTAAGTACAATTCCTTCAAAATTACCGGCTCACAATTGTTCAAAGAGTGCTTTTTTTTCGAAAATTTGAAAATTTTGAAAAATTAAAAAAAATTTCGAAAAATTTTTTTTTTAAAAATTGGAAAACTTTTTGAAAAATTAATTTTAAAAAAAAATTCGACGGAAAAAAATTTAGTCAAAAAATTTTTTATCAGTGAAATTTTTTTGATGACTCAGGTTTTTTGTGTATCTGTGGGTGGGGATGGGGTAGATTGAATGATTATCACCTTTTTTTAAATGAGGGGTGGGGGATCTTCTGAAATGGATGCGTACATTTTTTTTTCTATTTTTAATTTTCAGTGTAAGTTGGATATAATATGACTAGTGAGCATCAATTTTTTTAGATACACGCAAGCATTCTGCCTGCTAAAGGAATCACTAAGGTGACTCAACGGTAATAACTCATAAAAAATACATCAAAATTTTCGCCTCTGGAAATCTTGTACGTGCCGCAAAAAACTCGCCTTATCTCTGAGAGGCATAATTTGAACACTGTTCGAGCAAACAAAATCGCATTGTCAGCCTATGATGATAAGCGATACATCCTCAGCAATGCTTTCTCCACATTGCCATACGGTCACTATAGAACCGAAAATGCTTCTATCTTTCCCAATAGCAATGAGGATGATGATGATGATGACATCGAAAGGAATGTGATTGAAACTAAAAGCACCAGTCACCACAAAGATGAAGGTTTAGACGCTTGGCTGAAATTTTTTGAGGAAGAAGATGAGATAGTCGAATGGGATCAGGAGAGCTCGAACCGAGATGAAATCTTCACGCAGGATACGAAATACGGGTCAGAAGATAGCTTTTTTGTGTTGAATACTCAACCGAACCGATCGTTGAGAGAACTGTTAATTAGTTTCACCAGCTATGAAGCTCCAGATCCAGGTAGAATTCGTGTCACAGAATTGCTGAGAGTGATAATAAAAGCGATGATTTGGTTGATCCAAATGCAGTAACTTCTTATTCGTCTTCAGACGATGAATGGTACCTCGACCGCGAAGCAGTTGAATACTCAGCACCACAGTCAAAGAGACGCAAAACAAACAAAAAACTCTAAGGCTGTTTGTTTGGTTCAAGTTAAAAACAAAATTTATTGGTGTTGATCAGTGTTCTAAAATATACTTATTTCCACGTTTGTTCACAGTTAAGTAATGACGGGCTACTTCAAATCCGCTCTTTGGTTCTGCGTTACAATATTTTATCTGGAACGGTTTTGAGAATTTCCATTTCGGAAATGGCCCCAAATTGTTTTTGGTGCTTTTAATCGACACTTGTCTTAGAAGATTGTGTGAATAATTCAACCATTTCATTTCATATCTATTTTCACCAAGACCAAAGAGCTTGTAGAAACATTGAAAGAATCAATTCGCAAAGTCCTTCAACAGCAAATCGCATTGCACAATTTTGGTTCACTTGGAATACAACATAACTTGCCGAGCTATAGGTGGCAAAAAGAAAGAATAAATCCCGAGAACGATTTTGTTTTAACCAAAACAATTTCTATAAGGATCAATAAGTATAAAAATTTTACATTGGGATCATTAGGGATTAATAATTTTACATTGGGATCATTAGGTATAAATGTTTACATAGGGATCATTAGGTATAATCTATACCCAAAGATCCCTGTAGGGATCACCCCCCCCCCCCCCCCCCCGATCCCAGTGTCGTATATCTATACTACTATTAACATTAGGAACTAGAAATTTGAATTCAAAAATTAGCATTAAGTTTTCATGAAAATTATTCGGACATAATTTATGTCAGACATGCAACATTATTTCCACGAGAGATTAATAAAAGCACGAGTTTAGCCCGGTTGCTATAGTGCAGTTTAAATTGCAGAAAGTTATTGAAACAAAATTCTCGTTTGAAAGAATTTTTTTGCTGTTTATTTTGAACCAAGGTCAACAAGCATTAATATAATGTACCACATAACACCATGAGTTTCCGAGAAAACCTATCGCTAATTCAGAAAGCTTACAGATCAGGTGCATTTGTCAACTCTGATAAAACGAAAACTGATAGATAAACACTGCATTAGCCAGGGGCAGATAAAAAAACTTAGTTTCGATAGATAACTAAGGTTATCGGTGGCTCAGAGATAAATTAGATCTCAAATTGCCTGTCTTTTCACTAGAGAACGACTCTTTTTACGAAATTGAACAAAAATTTGAATCATTTCCAGAAATTGCGTACGATAAGATATAACTAGATCTGTATTTATTTGTAAATGTAATTAATATAGAAAATCACTATAAAAATTAATAATAAATAAATTGGTTGAAATTAATTATTTTTTAATGTTTTCTAATTCTTTTCTCTGCTATCAATGGAAATCAAATTGTTAAACAAATTTAGAATTGTTTGTTGAATTCATATTAGGTTTTCATGTAGCATTTTTTCTAATTATGATCCAGTATCATCTCGTTCTTCACTGTAATTTAGGTTAATCATGTTCAACAAATTTAGTTGAAAAAAACTCCAAACTCAATTTAGGTTTGTTTGATCCAACTTATCCAATACGTATCATTCTCATCTCACTAGATGAAATCATTCGCCTGGCTCCAGCTTTAAGAAACACCATCTGTGCAGGATTATACGTGGCTGAAGTAGTCTGTGCTCCATTCAGGTTATAATAGTGACATTCATTGTACCACCAACCACCCCTACCGTACAATTCAGCGCAGTTGGCGTTAACGGAAAGATCTTGATCCATGTCAGTAGTAGTAAAAGCCCTTCCGTTATGATAACTCAAGCTTTCTGGATTGCCCGAGCTTTTACCTGTCACCAATCCTCCGAACGATAGGCGATAAAAAGGGGCAACACCGATATTGAAATCTTAAACAACACTAAATTACCTTTGAAATACTTTTTTGGGTTTTCTATAAGCACATTTTCTCCCAAATTTGAGCTCGAGTGAACGCATTTTGCAACATGAGGGATAAAAACTTACTTCTAAATCAAACATATTTACGATTAGGCAAAACAATTATAGCGAAACCAATTTAAGGAGACATAGTATTGAAAGCAGGAACGGAATCATCATTAGCTATACTGATAAAAAAACACAGAAAAAGCATTAAATCATAAATGCAAAAATTATACGATGGATGGAAAAAAATGAGATAGTAACATTCAATCACCTTCCCACACGCCCCAGAAAACTTCGTTGGTGCTGTAGTCTCGCATCCAAACTTTCAGATTCCATTTCCCCTCTCTGGTCAAATTATGCATTGTTTTCAGGCCCAGCCAAAAATCCGATTTTGGACTTGAGCCTCTGAAACCATTCTCGTACTCAGAAAAAGGTTTCGCAAAATCGATATCAAATTGATCTCGTCTCTGGAAAATGATATCCGTCTCCTGAAAGCAGATCATTTGTCAGTTGATTTATATCTATCAGGAAAAACCCATCTAATCGATACTATTTTATTCAACTACTTTTAACTATAAAATAATAATTGTTTTAGATTTAATTGACTGAACGATCATTTGAGTTTCTTCACGGTATAATCATGTCAAGTATAATTTCCCACAGTCTAAACGGATATTTTTGGCCTCAACGATCTGAAATTACCAAATGATGGTCTTACGGCCTGAACAAAAAACCAAATCTCGACACCGGCTTCTATAGTTGATAATAGAAAGCTATCTAACAAAGCTATATAACACCTTTCACAAAAAATTTAAGACATAACTATACAATATCTTCGAAAAATACCTGCAAAAAACATGAAGTTAGTGTGTTGAAAGTTTTCAAGCAGTTATTCTCAAGCAAACGGCGAGTTATACTTATTTTAGCTATATCTGGTTGGCTATTTTGGTTAACTTCATTGTTTAATTCTTCTATTCTTCACGAAGTGGAGGAAAGTAGCTATGGATCAGCTCGTTTGGTCCACCTATTTAAATCTGAAACTGATCTTCCCTCTAAGCCAACAACTAATGAAAGACTATCTCAATTTGTTTCACCGCAGAAGTTCCCAATTTACGAAGAACTTATTGTTGACCGCGGGTCATTATAACAAAGAAACAAATTACTTAAATACCATTTAAGAAAAAAACACAAAGTTAAATATGACGCCAATTTGGAGAGCCATGACTATTCGTCGATTAAACTTTTTGTAGCTCAACTCTGACAAAAAATTTCATGAAACCACCTTTAAACAAAAGTAATCAATTAAAACAGATTATTATGTTTTTTTAACAATTATAATTACTAGTTCCAAATCTAGGTGTTTAAAAGAGGATTTAAATCAATTATAGTTAAGATATTTTTCAACTGATAACAATCTTTTATAATCGATTATAACTGATTATAAATCATACAAAAAACCTTTAAATCAATTATAATTCCTTGTAAACGATTATAATCTCTTTTTTTGCCAAAATTTCTTCACAGAAAAATATATATACTTTTAAAAATCTTACTATGATTACTAATTTTGAAAAATAGGTTACTATTTTTCGGTCATAAAACAAAATCTCTAAAAACGAGGTGTCTTGTGACACTTTCGCTTATCAGAACACAAACTTGTACCGCAAAACAAAAGTTTCAAACCGATCTTTTCAAATTAGTTGAAAGAATCCCGCGTTAGGTGAAAAAAACTTTTCGTATAAATCATGAAACTAAAGTAATGCGGTGATATTTTGGAAGCTAAAATTTCTTATAACCTGCATCACAAAACAACTTTAATGAAAACAATATGAAAAAAAAAATAGATACGATTTGAAGACTTTTAAAATAATTTTATCATTTTTTACACAAACCAACGTCTACGAAAAGCATAAATTATAAACAATTCAGATGCAAGGTCGAGAATAAATGGACGAGG